AAAATAACAGGCAAGATCACACAGATAGCCTTCTGTTATTAAAAATTTCAACATGTTTTTAGAATGACTAAATCTTTCTTAGGTAAAAATGATTAAAAATTTAACAGAAATGATAATACTTTGATTCTACAATTAATAAATTTCATAATGAAAATTTGAATCCATATATACAAATATCATTTTTGCATATATACATATTTACATGTGTACTTATATATACATTTTCCCCCAGTAAAGGGTTGCTATATATTTATATTTTATTAAAATATGTTTGTCATTTTATTGACTTCCATTAACATATTTTGTATAATGTGTCATATATTTAAACTTAAAAGATCTAGAAAACAAAACCCAGTCTCCATAATTAGAATGTTGAATGTAAAAGGCCCATCGCTTTGAAATCAAGTCAGATTTATCATCATTTATAATTCATTAGGACTGCTTTTTAACACGGCTTCAAGCATCTCCTAGGTATTTATACTGGAGGAAGGTAAAATGCATAGGTGCACGTGGCTGCCTAATAAATCTTTTTCATGCTTTTCACTTGCAGTGACAGAATAACCTGACCTTGGAGGAGGGCTGTTGTCTAGTGCTTTTACAGAGAGGCAGGAGTAGCTTCCATAAGCAAAGCTAAAACCCGGATGGTCTGGAACTCACTTAACATTGCTTAATCTTCTTAATATACTACGACAAGTCCTTTTTTTCATTTTTACATTAACATATTTCAATTTTATCACCTACTTTTTTACTCTTAAATAGAGCTGTGAAGGGTATAGGGAAAATGCTAGGCTAGCACACTATTAATGCAGAACTCCCTAGCCTCAAAAAGCCAGAGGAAAGCTGTTTTTAAATCAACACAAAATTACAAGAGGGAAAGATTAGGGTGGCAAGAACAAACCTATAAAACTATAAAGGATGAGGCAATAAAAGTAAAGCAGTGAGATGAAAAGTAATGTTTATTAATTGTCTAGCGACTTTCCTTCCTATTGGGTCTCATCTCTCCTTTTGAAGGAGTCTAAATAAAAATCATGGCATCTGCTTTTTCATTTTTTTTTCTTCCTAAGGGTGCATCAGTGGTGTTGTATATCTGTGGCTGCCTTCCTGAATCACAGGTAATTGTGAATGTGGCTTCTCATTTACTACTAGCACAGCCTTTGAAGAAAAAACAAAATTTCTTCACGAGTGCTTTTTAAATGCAGGGCCATGGTTTTATTTGCCTAAAGAAACAAGTTAAAGACATTTCACAGTTCATTCTCCCCAAACTATTCTCAAGCGTCATAGTCTCAATGACAGGTTATATTAATTAACCTAAAATTCTGAATAGATTACACGCTGACCTTAATATGGTCAAAGCATATAGTACAGAAATAACTCTCTCAGTACATTTCGAACCTGGGCCTCCTAAAATTTATTCATGGTGTTTTAAAATTTTTACATTATTTAATATTTTCAAGAGATATCTTAAGGCTCTTCCTTGAATTCGACTAGTAAAGTTAAAAATAGGTACTACTTCAGGATTTCTCTGTTAAATACTTCAGAAAAGTAATACTAAAATCCTTTACCATTTTTAAAATGTATGTACATATACAGATTTTGTCTGTGTTTTTCTGCAGTTGATGCCAGCAATCTCTTGGTACCTTATTGATTCCATGATTACTCTATAATTGCTTCAATGTGATCATGCACATTTTACTAAATCACTTGCTATTAAGTAACAGATGACTATTATTCTTTTTTTCACATGGAAAAAAGAAGCAGAAATAGATTAAAATATTTACATAATGGTACTTCATACAGCACTACATAATCTAAGTTGATTTGACCAGAAACATAATATTCTATTTCTCATAAGAAAAAACTTAAAGAGCTAATTCAAGCTCATCCATTTTTTAATAGGATTCTACCACTTAGGATGAATTTCATCTGAAAATAATAGGAATTCCAGATTAAACAGGCTTAAACAAGAAAAAATATTTATATTTCTTGTAAAAATTTGAAAGAAAACAGTACAATTTGTCTAATAAATATCTTAAACACTTTATGTTCAAAACTGATGATTATAATTTTTTCCCAAAAAAATGTTTCATCCATTCTGTATCTTAGCAGTCCAGTCAAAATAACATGATTATGAGAAATCCCTATTGACCTGTCCTTCAAACTGTACACCAAATCTAATTACTGCTTCTCACCTGAGTGCTATACTTATATTCATGCCAAAGTCATCCCTTACTTCAATGGTTTTCTATCAGTCTTTTTGCTTGTAATCTTGTCTTTTTATAATCCCCTTAAAAGCTATTCTCAATAGAGTAGTTAAGTGAGACTTTTGAAATTATAATTCTGATAATTTTACTCCTCTACTCAAAACAACTCTGCTATACCTCCTATTGTGCTAAGTATCGCAGCCAAAGTTTCTATGTGAATTACTGTTCTACTACCTTTTTGACATATTTCTTTCTTCTCATTCCTTTTGTGACTCTAAGCACAGTAACCTCTTTGTCATTTTTTTAAATGAGTCTGACATGAGTGACTAGAGCATTTTTCCACCTGCTCCTCTGCTTGGAATGCTCTTACCCTAATTGCCCACTTGGATTTTTCAAGCTTTGGTGAGATATCACATTCTGGATCAGGACTAGCCTAATGTTGCAGCTGGCACTCAAACTTCATCCACACTAGACTATGGTATTTACAATTCCTCTTACCAAGCTTTAACATTTTCCCCATAGTACTTACTTATTTCTGATATACTATATGATTTATTTATTTTATATTTATTGTTTATTATTGGTTCCCTACTGTAGGTAAACTCTAGGTTATGCCCTCAAACCGTTTATAGAATATATTATGTATGCAATTAACATTTGTTAGCTGAATTGCTTGAATGAAGGATTTCATAGAAATGAAAGAAGAGAATCAGGAATGGTGGTAAGTAGTTTCTGTCATGGATCTACGGGAAACTGCATTATTTAAAAATTATCTTGGCAGCACTTAAGAATGAATAGGATAAAAATTGCATGTATTACTAGATATCTAGAATTTTCTACATGTGAAATTGAATTTGAATTCATCAAACTGATAAAGATGCATTATTTACTCTCTTTTCCTGATGGATATGACTGAGACTGATGGAGTCAGGCAATTTATTTGAGTCACATAAGGAAGTCAGAAATTGGGGATTGAAACTCCTTTGCAAATATGGTCAAACATGCAAATTTTTTTCTTCTAATTATCTATAGTAATGATTTTCCCCCATTTTTTTAAAAAAAAAAAAATTATTTCCATCATTGAGCTCCATTACTCTTCCCCCCCCCCTCTTTTCTACATCTGATTGAGCAGATAAGAGTCTCACTGCCCACTTTGGCACCAGATGGGGATTGAATCCATAGGAACTTCTTATTTTATGCAGTAACTGTCTCAACCTGGACTTTCATACCCTAACCACAATAAAACAGCAAGTCAATATCCTTCTTTGGCTCTCTCAAGGCATTTTCAGCCCAATTTGGGAAATCTTCTGTTCAAACACCCTCAGTTATATAAGTGCTGAATCTGTGCTCTGTGTGTGTGTGTGTGTGTGTGTGTGTATGTGTGTGAGAGAGAGAGAGATCACTTGTTCTCCATCCAGATAAATTGCTCTTTCTGTAAAATCATTCATACTGTTAGGGGACAGACAGATGTAATGGTAGGAACACGAGGTTAAGAGAGTAATTCTATAAGATGTGCCCACTGTGCTGACCCCCACATGCTTTCTTTTCCAAGAAGCAATTTACTTGCAGCTGCTGCCTGGCATACATGAACAGGCTGACACATTCCTCAGCAAACTACCTGTTAACTGCAGGAAAAATGCAGGCCAAGATAATGTGGATGGGACCCAGGAGATTTTTGTGACCAGATCTTGGAACTCTGGGAGCTAAGGATTGTTTCTCCTAACCATAAAATCTGCATGACTATATGGTTAAGAATCCAATTAGCACCAGTCAGCATGGACCAAGATGATCTAGATTTGCCATAATAATGAATATTTGAAAGTCTGATGTCACCCTGCTGTCAATCAAAAGTTAAGAGGTAGATCTGGGCAGGAATCTCTGGAAACTTCTCTGGAAACCCTAATAAAAATGAAGTGCAACAAAGGAACATTGTCTCTCCCTTCTCTGAGAGGAATCACTCTCTCCTTTGAAAATGTCCCTTTTTTTTTTCCCTATCACTTCAAGAAACTCATTCCTGTTAACTGTGAGCAACATGTCTGAAATCTTTCTGACTTGGTCTCAAGAATCAGGATTTGAAGATGGGGTCTTTGGGCTGCCACAGTTTATCAGAAAGCCCCAGCTCCATAACAATAACAAAAACTGATGTGGGAATGTAAATTAACAAGTTATCCTGATTGGTCTTTGGAGGAATGGTTTAGTAAGGAATATTCAGTGGAATCACTGGAGACATTCACAGTGGACTTAACTATTAGTGATCCAGGCTTGCTCTGTCATGCTAATAATTCAACCACAAGCCCTGTTATTTATGCACTTAAAGAAGTATGCAGGCATGGGTAAAAAAAAAAAAAAAAAAAGGTCTGATACAGTAATTCAAGTTTAAAAATTAAAACAATCAAGAAGTGTTTGCACTGGATTAGAGTTTTGAGGAAATGACAGGTTACTCAATGCTACATTGTTCTTAGGCTGTAATTATCTCCAGGTTTAGAACAGACTGATCTCATGGGAATAAATATGAATCAATAGGGTAGAAAATGGGGTTGCTTCAAGATTATTGTTTCTGATTTTAAAGTGTGAATTAGAAGCACATTGCTGTATTTTTACCTGAAATAGAGAAGGAATTACCCTTCCTTCCAAATCATTCTCTACATTTTGTACATTGAAAAAATGTAAAATAAATAATTTCTTTGCCAAAATTTACCTAAATACATTAACATTCCACATTTTGATGAACCCATTCAGAATCTTAACTGACTTTGATACTGCTGTTAAGAATCAGTCAGCGCCGAGGAGGCCGCGGCCATGGCCGAGACGGAGGAGCGGAGCCTAGACAACTTCTTTGCTAAGAGGGATAAGAAGAAGAAGAAGGAGCGGAGCAGTCGGGCAGCGAGCGCCGCAGGCGCGGCGGGCAACGCGGGCGGGAGCAGCGGAACGGCGGGCGGCAGGCCGGGCGACGGCGGGACGGCAGGCACAGGGGCCACGGGCCCCGGGGCCGCCACCAAGGCAGTGACGAAGGATGAAGATGAATGGAAAGAATTTGAGCAGAAAGAGGTTGATTACAGCGGACTCAGAGTTCAGGCAATGCAGATAAGTGAAAAAGAAGAAGATGACAATGAAAAGAGAGAAGATCCAGGTGATAACTGGGAAGAAGGAGGAGGTGGTGGAGGTATAGAAAAATCTTCAGGTCCCTGGAATAAAACAGCTCCGGTACAAGCGCCTCCTACTCCAGTAGTTGTTACAGAAACCCCAGAACCAGCAATGACTAGTGGTGTGTATAGGCCTCCTGGGGCCAGGCTAACCACAACAAGGAAAACACCACAAGGACCACCAGAAATATACAGCGACACACAGTTCCCATCCCTGCAGTCCACTGCCAAGCATGTAGAAAGCCGAAACAGGTACTTAAAATGAATGCTACCTGGAGTTAATGACCACATATGGCACATCTACATCTTATTTAGGGACATGAATTTTAAAAAATAAATAAAATGGGAAGAAATGTAAATGACATCAGATGGAAATTTTTTTGGGTGGCTTTTAAAGTAAATCCCAGCCTTTCGCCTCTTTGAGAGCACAGCTGGCTTGAATTTAAACCTCCACTTGGACTTTGCTCCTCTGCTCTCCTACAGAATGCATAAGGGACTCTGGGAGGGGAGTGACTCACCACACTTAGCTTTCTTTGCCTGATCTAGTCCGACCCCTCACAAACAAAAGTGGGGAGAAATCATTGAATGATGAGAACTTTACTTGAATGAGAAAATTGTTACCCTTACCTTATGCATAAAGAAAGAGATGTATTGTCTACTAATTGCTAAATCTAGAAGTGAGTCCTAGGAGGAATCTCATTGCACAGCTTCTTTCCAGCTGTCTTCAAATGGTCCCCAAACAGGTTTGCAGTTAATGCAATTCAGTAGATGGGACCATAGAGCTTCAGTACAGTATTACCTTTTCTGTTCAATTGAAGCCTTAAAATGGTTTGATAAGAATTTTATATACCAGTTCTCCTTTTCTGTCCCTCCCCAAGATATTTATGGGTGGCCTTTCCCCCCACCCCACCCCCAAGGAAGAATATTTTCAAAAAACCCTAGTGAAGAATATTTACTGATTACATTTCTTTTCCCTTAGGGATAAAGAAATGGAGAAGAACTTTGAAGTAGTAAGACACAAAAATAGAGGTAGGGATGAGGTTTCAAAAAACCAGGCCCTTAAACTTCAGCTAGACAACCAGTATGCTGTGCTTGAAAATCAGAAAAGCAGCCACACACAGTACAATTGAGGAATGGTCTTTGCTAACCCTTCTGAGGTAACTAGACCACTGCTTATCACCATGAACCTTTCATCCGATCTCTGTTGGACCTACAGCAGCTGATGCAGACCCCTCGGTTTAAGTGACTGGCTCTGTTGCACTGTGGAAGTTTAAAGTGTCACAACTGCTCTTTATGTATACTGGATTTAGGAGAGCTTCCATTGTTATATAAATGTGTGGACTAGATTCAGCAGTGTTATTTCATAATTGCTCTGCAAATACAAAAAACCAAAACCTGCAGCAGTGGTCATTTCAAAAATCTTTTTGTGTTCAGATACTGAGCCTTCGTAAGGGTTGACTACCTCAGATTTGCTGCACTCATTGTGGACTTCATGTGGATCACAACTTCTGGATAAGAAGGTTACAGCTATTAAGGTGTCGATATGAACCTTGAAACCAGCTCTACTGGATTCCTATCAGAAATCCTGCAGAAAGTCAGCCATCTGGGTTCTGATCTGCTGTAAAAGATGAAGATTTAAGTGACCTTAATTAACCTGTCCTGTCCCCCACCCTAAGGAATACTCTGTAGTAGGCTGTGGCTATATTATACTTCCTGGAACATGCCGCTCAAAAGAACTGTGTTCAGATCATCTATGTAGGGCTGTGAATTATAATTTAAGTTTTTAGTTATAGTCTGAGGTAAACTACAAATTGAATTCAACCAAACTTGGGTCTACCAAGTGGGAAAAGGGGTGGGGGAGGGAATAATCTCGTTTCTCTTGGTCATTTTTTATTTGGATAGTGCTTTTTCTGTGTTCCACATTAAGGCCTTTTTTGCTTTGACTTGGAATAAGTTCTTTGACAGCATATTGCTTGGTTAGGTAAGTAACCTGAAATATGCATTAGAATTGTGAAATGTCTCCTGAATTTGCCAATCCCTGGAGTGGAACCAAATAGCCTTTGACATAAGGGGCAGCAAATGCTGGACACTCTACTTCAGGTGCTGCTAAAGCCTCCAATCAGGTCTAAATTTACAGTACACTGCTGTGGAGACAGCGGTTTCTACTCAAACTAAGGGATTCAAGCAATGTGAGCAAAACCACCCACAATCCATTTAAGTGTCCTGGATCTTGTATGGGTGTTGATAAGAGTTCCTTACATACCTGTGTCCAAATTTTTAAGGTATTAAAACATTCTAAAGATACAGTGATTGTCCCCACTAGCTCTGTTACCAGCCTTTTAGAGTGTCTCTAATAGTGTTCATTTAGAAAGGCAGGGCAAAAGACAGTGATATAGCCCTGCTGTTTTTAATAATTACAGCTTAAGCTATCCACTAGTACTTAGTCCTTAAAAGGGACTTGTGGAAGTGCCCCAGGATTACTGAGACATTTCTTTCTACCTAATGAGACAGTCTAGCAAATTTCCTAGTTTTATATCTGTGATTCAGTAGAAATATTTGTAGTGGTGTGTGACCACTTGATGCAGAGCCTGGGTTTCTCTGTAATAAATCCATTCACCAAAGGCAGGAGTTGTGGGCTTGCTGCTGGCAGGTGTGAAGTACATGAGTGAAGGCAGCTGTCCTGGTGTGGGGCCATTCTCTGTAGGAGTTTGGTCTTGGTGAATATGTTGGTGCAGGAATTGGACTTTTAGGAGGGCTATAGTATCTCCTGACAGGACCTGCCTACCACTTCTGGGCAATAATGTTGAGGTGGCAGGTAGGACAGCCTGCCTTCTGATTTATTTGGATGAGTAGCTGAGCCAGTTGCGGGGAGGTAGGATGATTAAAGGAGACTTTTAAAATTCTTGGTTATACTGAAGACATGATTTGGGAGCCAAAAACCTTAACAAGTAATCTCTTGGACCCTGAGCCACATATTTTCCTTAAAGTATGCGTTTTTCCCACAAACTTTTGTTGGGTTATATTGTTGAGGAATGAACTGAGATGAATATGAGGTGGTTTTATTTAATGGCATACTGTACTGGAAATTTTGAAGACCTGCAGCAGACTTAAATTCCAACTCTTGTTATAATTTTATAAGAGATTGTGAAATTCTCAAAATGCATATGAATCAAGTTTTAATATACTGTATGATGGGTTGATGAGGCTGTCCATTATACCATTTCCTTCTTTGGATTCTCAGGCATGGTTTGGCAGTGCGAGAACTCTGTAACATTAACAAATTCAATAAAAAGTAAATATATGGAAAAAAAAAGAATCAATCAGGATCTGGTCTGTTCCCCTGATGTTGAAGATTGAATACCTGAGAAATGCAGAATTCTGAGCAAAAAGTTTTATTTAAAGGATAGAACAGAAAGAGAAAGAAAGACAGAGATTCCTTTGCAGAAGGGGAGAGTCCAAGTTGGAAGTTGGTGCTTGAGGAAGTGGGGGTGTCCTCCCCGCATTATAGATTTTAAATTTCCTTTTTTCTCATGCTCCCTTTCTGCCCTTATCTTGCTCATGGAACAAAAAAGAGCAGTGACCAAAAGGTGGAGTAATGAAGGGTGAGAATGAAACTGCCCAGGGGTACTGGCATGAAGGGAGCAGCCAAGGGAGTATTCATTAACCACTCCTATAATGCCCTGCAGGGAGGAACAATTCCCTGGAGGCAGGTAATCTTGGCAACAGGTTGGAGGAGGACAAGTGTCCTGAAGGTATTAGCATTTTATTTTCTTTCCTTCTGAACAAGCCTGCATCTTTCAGATCCTAGGAGATTATTCATTTCCTACACTGATTGTCCTTCCCTCACTCCACCTTGATTTTAAAACACATCCATGATGTTGATGCTAAGAAGGGAATCTATCTATCTATCTATACACACACACACACACACACATATGTGTATATATATATATGTGTATATATATATATATATATATATATACATATATATACACATATATATATACACATACATAAATATATGTATATATACATATATAATATTTACAAATATTAAATAATATATAAAATATTAAATTATATATATTTGTAGGATGGTATATGGTTTCTATGCTTTGAAGTCAATTGCTTAATAGAGCATATTTTTCACATTAGAAATAAGTCAATTTAACAAGGTTTGTTTCTTAGGCTATGTATTAATGATCATGGCAGTATATAATTGTACTTTAAAATTAATCTACTTTTGTTTTTTAAAGACCTAAATCATAGAGTGCCAAATTCCTCTAAAATAATGTAGAAATAAGCATTCTAAAGCAGTTGAAAATGTTAGATGCAGGAGCTTTGCATACTACTGGCTTTTCAACAATTAGCATAAACTTTTTTAACTATAAAGTGTGCAGATTCATAAACAATCACTATGAAATAGCTGCTGTGAGGGGAAAACAGGTGATGCATTGTAAAAGCTATTTGAAAGCATTAGTTATTGCAAAATATAGTTTTTATGCTTTTTTATTAGACCAGTGCTAACAAAATGCACTTCTGATTAAAGGCTTATCATAACTCAGAAAAGCAAAATCTGTATGATTAAATTATTCCATAACTATATGAACATATTATTTTAGAATAGCTATCAATTCTTGCATCTGAGGCTTTCCTTTGATTCTGTATCAAAATTGAAAACTCTTTGAATGATCTCTGAATAACTGCATATGGCAGCAGAAACAAAATATCTGTGTTTTGTGTGTGTGTGTGTATATATCATATATATAATTATATACACACATATGATATATTTTCATATATATATATATATATATTAGAAAAAAAATGTTGCCAATTCACAGCAAATGGTGTTGTTTGAATGATATGCAGATTTAACACATTTATTTAGAAACTTTTTTTATGTTTAAAATTTAGGCCCACTCTCTTGCCTTTTGTTAGTTGCTTCCATGACCTAAAATTATATGTATAGTCTCAACTTGCAAATATATAGAGTATAATTTCATACAATCAATATTACTTCATATTTAGACTCAATATGACCTTCATTCCTTTCTGTATTTCTGTACATGTGTTTATATCATTCTCTTTCGGTTTCGCTAAATTATTTTAGTAAAATTTTAATAGTGATGAGTGATGGATTCTCTCCAATTTTGTTTGTCTGAAAATTCATTTTTAGTTTTTTAGGACATGTTTGTTGGTAGCAGAATTTTCTTTCAGCACTGTTTTCTGTTTTATATTGTTGCTGTGTGGGCTCTATCTTGTCCAGCGAGCAGGTCCATGGAACAGGGTAGAGGAGAGTGTGGAGATGCTAATCAAGACCTCGGGATACCAAGCAGGAAGCAGGTCTGATTTTATTACGCAGTTACCATGTATATGTACTCAGACAGTAGCTAAGCAGATTACAGGCAGCCACCAATACAATTTCTTGCTAACTGTCCTTGCAGTGACCAACGAAGGAGCGGGCTATGGAGCAAGCACCAGGACTGTAACACATGGTCTCACATCCATTGCTGTACCTACGGGGTAAGAGGTCTGCTACTAATGTGCCTAGCATGAGGAGAGTGGCCTGCCACTCAGATGCCCTTAATGCATACAGTACTGTATGCACATGTCCCCACATGTTCCTAATGTGCTCATTCTTAGTCTTTATCCTTTGGAAAAAAAACATTCACTTTCAATATTTTTAGGTTATCTATTTTTCTTTGTATATTATCATTTTGAATATGAAATATTAAGTGTGTTTCTATTCTTGTTTTTTTCTTAATGTTTGTAGTTATTCTGTCTGGAATTTGACACCTTTCCACCAAATTTAAAAAATGTTTGGCAGTTCTCTCTTTGATTATGGCTTCTGACCATTCTTTCTCTTCTTCCTGCAGAATTCTAATTACACATTCATATTTTTATATGTTGTGTTTTATCCCTCATTCCATAGGTATCTTGTAACTAATATATTTTTTCCATCATTTTTGGTACTTTTCTAATTGATCTCTGATTGTTTTATCAGATATCAGGCATAACTTATCTGATATTAAATCCACCTATTAGTTTTTATTTTTAGTTCTAGAGATTTTATTTATTTTAAAATGGCTCAAGTTCTTTGATGGAATTCTCTCACTTGTCATGATTTCTTTAACATACTAATCAATTTTAACACATATTTGATCATTCTAATACCTGGATATTTGTAGTTACGTTTTTATTGTTTGAATGTGTCAAAAATTATAATCAATAGTATCAATTTTGTCATTTGCTAATGACATCATTTAGAAATGAGACACTTTAAAAAATGCTCATTGACAGTTTAAATTTGAAAGTAATATTGGTTAGGAAAACACATGCACTGACACGGGGAAAAAAAGAAAATAAGGAAGAAAGATCTTTTGTTTGTTTCTCTTATGGCTTGTTAGTTC